CCCCCCCCCCTCGCTCGACGGCCGTTTTGGAGGAAAAAGTGGGCGGAGTTGGGTCTGTGTCGACTGGTCTCAGAATCAAATTCTATAGAAACAGCCATGATGGGGAGGGTGGTGATTGGGGTAGGGGAGGGTGTCGTGGGGGGAGCCTTCTAAGACTGATGGTGGTGGTGGGGGGAGGGGTCGCAAAATTTTTGGAAAAGTGCGAACGTGACGGTTGACCCTGCCTACAGGATAGTTTTCAAAAAATGTGTAGCGTATTGTTGCGTTGAGAGAATGGTAAGCATCTCTCACTAATTGAGTACCGTGTGATTTTTTTCGGCATATCACAGAAACTAAATTCAAAATCTAGAAGGTTTCAAGTTTAGAGTAAAGGACTTTGCAAAACCGTCTTGTATTGAGATAAACATTCGATACATTAGACAGAATCAATACATTTTCAGCAATGAAAGCATAGTTTTTCATGTGAGCAACATTAGGAATACCATCAGGGCTGTCGAGTTTTCCTGTAACAGTGAGCGTCATGGCTTTCGGTTCAGCCATTAGTTGAGACTTTACTACATAAGTCTCTATTTTCATGCAGCATCCAACATTTTCTCATGTTTTACTATGCTTACGGCACGACATCCTTAGCCTGTCCTTCTGCGTCAGTCCTGTCGTTTCTCGTTCGACTTTTGGAATGGAGACACATTCAATTCCGCGAGAAGCGCAGTAGAGCCAGAATCTCCACTAAACCAAAACTTTGCATAATTTGACCCACCAGAGAAGAAAGAACGACTGAAAAAGTGTTCCCTTGAAGGTTTTTGAGCGCTGTTCTGTCTGGCGCTATCCTGCTCGTGATAATACGATTATTTAGATCAACGCAATGCGTGCAGATACTGCCGATTCCAACGATGTTTGAATGTGGGGATGGAACCAGATGGTAGGTCTTCCACTTTTCATATCCGGATTAGTGTAGAACTTTTGGCGACTTAAAACTCAGGACATCACAAATTTGGAGGATTTTTCGTATAACTTCGTATAATGTATGCTATACGAAGTTATTACAGTGTTTTCCAGCCATCAGACCTGACCGCGACATCATCGGTAAGCAGAAGAATCCGCGTCGAAAGAAGTTAAAACGCGAAGACAGCTCACTTCCTTCACCAGGGAGTGATTCACCGTAAGTCACTACTCACTGCTTCCCTTATTTTGATAGATCCAAAATAATGTTGAGATTTTTCGCGGTCCTCCTCCAACTTACTACATATGAAAAGCCTAAGCCTGTCTGTCTATGTGGGCTATTACAAAATCTATTATCTAGAAAGCAAACTTGAGAGAGCCAGCGGCCAAAAAGCGAGATGGGCTAGGCAACTGGTTAACTGAAAACTCACCGCATCCGAGCCAAAGTGGAGCTTGCCCCAACTGATAGGACGCCCCAAAGGCAATGTTAGACGACAAAAAACTTCAAGTCGATCTAGAACAACATCCGAATAGGCAGACTTAATCAAAAACGCTTAATCAAGTTCACAAAATTCTATGAAACAAAAAGTGTGTGGGAATGTTATGGCCTAAGAGTTCCAGGCATAAGCTTGAAGTGAGCATAGGCCCAAATACCAGACTGAAAACCATTATATCTCTTTCCTTCTTCGATACCTCAAGGCAAACCAGCTAGGAAAATTCCAGTTCTCTGACTCGGAAAGGATTCCAATTCCAGCTCACCACACGAAGACGTGCTGGTCACTTTTCTTGTCGACGTTGAGCTGCAATCAATGAGTGGACCGGCGGCACGAACACCGCTTCCTATCGGCATCCAACGGATCAAGTCCGATCCCGACATGGACATCAGTTCACTGTTCAGCAATCGTTTCGCCTACGAGCAAGAAGCTTATGAGGTTACCTTTGGCTATTCAGTTGTTTGACTATTCCACAGTGTAGCCATAAGATTGGTCTGCACCGTCCGAGCTATACTCTCCAGCTTTCTAGCCTTTGGAGAAAGGGCTCATTCTATGTTGCTTCCAATGATCCTCTCTTACACTGTCTCCATCATTCTGTAGATACTGTGACTTTGAGCTGCTTTCGCCAAATTTATTTTCCTCCTCTTTCGAGAATCCTCGAGTTCTGGAACAAGCGGAGTTAAATCGCAGGTACAAGCGTACGTAGCTCTTTATTTTTCTGCAGAACTGCAAAAAGAAAAAACGTTAGCATGGACATACCGTGTTTGAAAGCGATTAAATATTGTTAAATCCACCTTTATTTCAGATGGGTTACACAATGGAGCGGGTGGCGTCTGTGGAGCAGTTGGCTTCAGCGCTTCGACGATACTTATTTGCCGCCGTACATTGGATCGAAGCGCTCTTTTCATTGGCACAAATCGAGAACGTGCCCGAGAAGGTACTATTTATTTTGATGAATTTTTTGAAGGCACATTGCGTGCTGGCGTGTGGGCGGGGTTACTCTTTCAAAGAGGCAGAGAGAAGGGACGCACTAATGAGATGGTACTACTACATATAACTTCTATGTGCTGAGCGAAGCAATCCACGTGGGCAGAATGGGATGCCTTTAAAGATAGAGGTTAACATAGAGCGCCGTATGAGTGACTTACTACGTAGCTTGCTTTGTGAGTGGTTTCTGAGAACACTTAAACCAATACTCTTTTCAGGTGGCTGTTCTCAAGAGTGTCTTCGCTCCGTATACCATCCTCTGTCAAGCGGCACGTACTGCGCAGGTGAGTAAATTCAGTGAAAAATGGAAGCACAGAAATCATCGAAAAACCATCACCCAGATTATAATATCAGAAGTAAGAAAAAGCCAACTTCTCCAGATTCTCATAAAATCTTCTGAGAACAATCTGGTCCTACTTCTGAGAATATCTGGCTGGAAGTGGGTGGTGCTCCTTCTCCACCCCTTTCTTGGAACATTCCTACGGTATTATGCTTTTCATCCTACACAACAACATGTCAATTTTTATGGAGGACATAAATATAGTTTACATAAAGTAATCAGATAAATGGATTCTGCGAACATTTTATCTCGACTTCTGAGTGATTAAGTCGAGCTCTCACCGCGAAAGTCCTTCAGGTCGTGCCCCGCCTCCTAAAAATGTTTTCGTGCGTGATGTAGTGGCACAAGAGTGGCGTACAAAACTGTGGTTCATTTTTCTTGAACGCTCTGAATGCCAAAAACAACGATTGATAAATCCAGACCCATACCGTCTTGCCACAAGTTCTCGGGAAAAATCTACTTACGGGAGTCCTAGGTATTAAAGCCACTCATTACCACCAAGAGTACTACATTAGAAACACCATGTTAGCCTGACAAATCAAAAATGCAAAAACGTATCATTCACGGGAATGTACCAGGAATCTGGGACACGACCTTTCTGGTCATTTTTACGGCTAAAATGCTTCATCATTACAAATCATTTGAACACTTCCATTTCCTCAAAGCAGTGAGCAGTGAAAACTGCTTGCACCAGGGCAGTAATGTATTAGGTTGTCTCATAAATAGTGTCGCTTTTTTTCAACCAAAAAGATTTTCATCTAAATCCCCATGCTTTTACATCGTTTATATACCATTCGAAAGAGAATTGTCTGCTCTACAAGATGCTATGTTCCACTTCCACCTCTGTTCCAGGGTTTTCAAATTTTAGGCCTGCGAAATGGGAGGTCCAGCCGACAAAAATTGACCAAACCGACAACTATCTCTAACTTTATCTTCCCTTGGGAGAAATCAATCAATGATGTACCCTCTACTTATGCATGACCTCTTCTGAACATTACACTATTAGGTTTCCCAACAAGTCGCGTCGTTCCATTTCCAGACCTGGTTTTTCAACCAGAACTCGACGGTCGAGCACCATTACCTGAGATCTAGGTCGAAATTTTTTTATAGCCGAGACATTGAAAAACTAGTAGAATTCAAAGAACAAGTCATGACTAATTTAGGAATGTACGCCTGGTTGATTTTCTCATCTTCTCAGGAATAATTTTTTTCAAAGAAATGCGGTCACTTTCGCGGATAAAGCACCTTATTCCTAAACACCTAAAATTCGAACTAATTCCAACAAACATAAAAACAAAACAAATGAGCGAATAGAGCAGAAGAAGTGCTCACAAAAGAACACCACTCGATATGAAACAATGACGTTTACGAGGAACAATTTTAATTTGAAAATTGCTATGGCTTATCGTCAGCCAATTCGAAAAGAAACACGGCAAAGCTTTTTCGGCAACCTAAGAGTGGAATGTTCAGAAGAGGTCATGAGTAAGTAGAGGGTACATCATTGATTGATTTCTCCCAGGGAAAATAAAGTTAGAGCTAGTTGTCGGTTTGGTCAATTTTTGTCGGCGGGACCTCCCATTTCGCAGGCCTAAAATTTGAAAACCCTGGAACATAGTGGAAAGGAACACAGCATCTTGTAGAGCAGACAATTCTCCTTTCGAATGGTATGAACTCGATGTAAAAGCGTGGGGATTTCAGATGAAAATTTCTTTGGTTGAAAAAAAGCGACACTATTTATGAGACAACCTAATATTATAGCGACAAAGAAAGGCAACCCCACATCCAGTAAAAGGGGTTTCCGTGGTGAAAGATTGCCAGTGCAACAGTCGTTCCCCCAAGCCAGGGTGAAAATCGTGTCGAGTACGTGGTCGCAGGGTACCCCCCCCCCCGAAATCGAGATCCTGGCACGACCCCCTCTAACAGAGCAAATTAATTCAATTAAAATAAATCCTGCAAAACAAATCAAAAAAAATTCTGCAAAATAATGCTAAGGACGCTTCATCTTGTCATCTATGCACGTCTTCCATCGCTGCATACTTTTGTGTACATACTGAAATATCGACTCGAGGAAAGAGGCATTAACTTTGTGTGACCTCAAGGCGAGGTTCGTTCAGAAACGCACAGAAATCCTGAAGACACGGGGTTGCGATTCAATCTTGATTCTTGCTTGAGTATATCAAAACAGCCGAGTGTATCAAAGGCCGATTCAACGGCAGCTGCGGCGCGATTGTCACTGGGTCAGATTTGCCGAAATTTCAAAAAAAAACGTCCGAATCTACACCCTCGATGAAAAGGTTGCATTCCTCCATTTCACAACCTTTGAAGCAGCTTGAGGTAGAGTTAGATAGAGCTGGATTTCGCGTTTCCAACAAGCATCGAAATTGCTCTGGAAGCCTTCCTTGCAGAAAGATAGGGTCTGTCAAATTTCGTCGAGTAAATGTCGAGGAGGCCCAAATTTTCACGCGAGTTTTTGCCACTTCAAGAGCAATATATCTCTTATATTGTAAGATCCTGAAAAAGGGAAGATAGTTTTGGAAAGCGGAAGGTTTGCGCTTCCTGATGGTCTGTTTAGTTTTCTTCTACAGCTTTTTGGTTGAAGAGATAATTGCGTCGAGGATCTATCGAGGTCGGATCCGGCCACCTGGAAATCCGCTCCCTCATTCACCATTGCAAGTGTGACTCGTTGGCAACACTCGGAATGTGTCTAGAACAATATCTTTGAACGCAAACAATAAGAATAGGAGCAATCGTCATCATCCGATTTGGTATTGGTATAAGCCATGCATCCCTCCTCCACTCACAGTTGCAGAATCGATTGAAAGGTGTTATATGATGGGGACCTTCGAACGAAACTGTATTGTAGTAGACATAGTGTGTTGTGCTATATTCCTGTAGCCTAAAAAACAACTTCATTTGCCCAGCGCTTTTTCTTCACGGTTGTCGTTTTTCCGACAGGGTCCCTAACAACAGCGTCATTCTCAGCGAGGTATTAAGGGAGAAGGAGCGAGTGATAGGCGGAGGAGGTGCCTTTGCAGCGCGTGCGCACATGTGGCACTCTTCTTTGCGGGGATGCACTTTCATCTTTGTACTGCCTTCAAATACGCCCTTCTCATGAAGGTGGAGGAATGGAGCGACTGAACCTGCAAAGAAAATTTAATATCATTTTTTTCGTTTTCATTTTCTGCTGCGCTATACCCTATTACCTATCTGCACCATGATACCACTTCTGTTACTGACCCCCAAGAGTACGACCCCCCATGGACCAGCCCAACAGGTACGACCCCCCTGTCGAGGATTTCCTCGACCGATATTCACCCTGCTCCCCACCAGACTGTGCCCAACCCCTGAAACCTCCCACCTTTGAAGTATTCGATACGGCGTGTTGTATCAGCATTTGATTTATATGGAGATCGCACTTATATGCAAGCCTAGAATTATCTTTTGATCCTGACATCTTTTGTATCGCATCGGGCATACTGTACGGCCAGTATATCCTTCCATTCCTCCAGAATCGACGGAAAGAATGTCGCATTTCTCGGCTTTTGACGTCTCTTCGATTTCTCCTTATTCATGACCTCGCTGCTTTCAAAATTCGAGCAAGCTCAAATCCTGTCCTAACTCCTACTTTGACTATTGCACCCCAGGCTTTCCAAGCCGTCCAATATTTTTGCTATACCCTGTATGTTTAGATGCATGGTATGCCAACTAATGAATAATAACGGCAGCAATGGAGGAATAAGATAGGAACCTTTCCCAGTCCGAGAGGAAACAAGATGGCATTAGCTGGGAAGTTATTACGACTGATAGGTACTGATAGGTATCCGACTGATACTGGTATAATCGATTGATCGAACAATAGGAACTGCGCAATTTCTCGAATGATCAAATTGGGCATTGCTTGGTTCGACGTGTCATTATTTCGCTCGTTTCCACCTAGGATGCCATGCTTTTATTTATTCTATTTATTTTATTTATTTATTAACTTATTTATTTATTTATTTATTTTATTTATTTATTTATTTATTTATTTATTTATTTATACACTCAACGGAGTGCGCCAATGCGCCATGTTGTCAGATAACTTTCATTTTTTTGCGAATTTTTTTTCGAATTTCTGACATTTACCTGGAATAATTTTCTTACAGATGTCTCGTGACTTAGACGTGATTTGCCTGTGCAATCGTACCACAATCACAAGACAACCTCCACGGCACCTCTTAGAAACGAAGTGAGTATTCCAGGTTCTCATATTTTGTGTGACTTCAACACCATATTTCATGTCCCATTTCCGGCCCCTGTTTGTGGCAGTTATTTCGCCCTTATCCACTGCAGTGGGATTGGATATCAACCATCAGCTTAAGACTCCATTAGGGGGCCATAAGTGTTTTACTAGCTGTGAAAAAAGCTCAAGACTTCTGTTAAGAAGGTTTACGGGAATTCTGAGAATGTTAAATGAGACACTTATAACGAGAGTTTTTTTGGATTACTTTACATGGGACTTCTTGCCAATGCGAACAGAGTTCCGTTGTTGATGGAAGTCTTTTGGTAAAATGTCTCTCTAAAATGCCCCTCCATGACCAAAGCAAGCCTTTGTTCTATTGATCATCTTCGAAATATGAAGCCATCCGCAGTCGCTGTCCAGCTCAGAATGGCCTACAACGATTGCTCCAGCCTGAACCAGCTGCCCAACTGCCCAAGTCGATTCAATG